GTATCATACATCTACTTGATTATCAACAAAGCCTGTAGCACATAGTCAAGATAATAGTAATTAGTATGCTCTGAGATATTTAAATCCATGTTGTAAAGTTATAAACTCGATTTCATGCACTTATGCGAACATAAAAATTTCAGAATCGATTTTTCATCTCATGAAAACGATTCATCTTATTGAAAATCAGCATTTTCTATTCGATAGACATTCTTGATGAGAAAACAATGTCTCCGTATCAAGGATCGGATAAAAATATTTGTCAAAGAATTGTATCAATAATACGCAGAGTTTATATGAATAGCAAACTATTCTTTATTGTTGATCAAATGTCTAAAAACACTAAAAATCAATTGATATCCTCCTTATTTTACTTCATTCTTCAAGATAGAATACGAAATAATATAAAAAGGTCATTCAAAACCTTCTCAACTAGTATTATCATGAATACACACTGAATCGAAAACTGTAAATGGTATCGTATAGCGACAATAGAGAATACATTTAAACAATTGCTATCTTACGGAAAAAGAACAAAGATTATTTCCTTACAAATTCTATCGTAGCTCTCCATGTGACCAAAATTGTACAAAAATCGGCAATTTTTATCGCGATTAAATTACTCAAGAAAGTAGTTTTGTGATTTTCTTAGAAAACTATAATTTTTCTATGCGATATTTACAGTGATCGGATCTAAGACTTCAACTATGTCTCACGGGATAAATGACTGTCTGTTAGCTTTATACCGATAAAAATTTCCTATGAATCGGCCAGCGGGAAGAGAAGCGTGCTGTATATGCATCAAAATGGTCATTTAGGTAAAAATGAAACTCGCATTTTTTTCAAAGTTGAAATTTACCGAAATATACTTCAATATTTTGTCTATCGAATGATATAAATACCTTTATTACAATTCTGAAAGAAATTGAAAAATTAGTTGCTCAAAAATTCACCAGAAAATCATGATGTCACCGAGAAAATTCATACCAAACAAAATTAAACTTCAACAGACCAATCAAGCACATTTTCTGGATTTTCAAGTTAGACTAGCTCTCTACGATGGTATAAAATATTTTGTAATTTGCATGTTTCACTGCTGAGAGAAAAGAATTATATGTTTTTTTGTGATGTTTTTCGTTCAGCTACTTCCATAAAACTAGTAATCTATCCACATTCAATATTCAAATTTTGATACAATGTTCTTGTGTCTACTCGTTGTAATCTCGTTCTTTCCCACTTCTATTTATCTCACAATATTGTCTCCTTATTTTTATTTTATTTTCTGCTAAAATAAAGCAAACGATGTTTCGAAATTCGTTTTCTGTCTAAAGTTATCAGAAAAGCGAACATTTTGATGGAAGTAATATAAAATCAAATTGATTGATATTGGAGAAAGAAGAGAAAATGAGACATATGAAGCATGCTTTATTTATTTCTATCAACTATATCATCTAATTTTTTCAAAGAAAATGCACAATAATAAGAATATTGTTGAAGTTCCATGATAGTTCTATTGCGGATTTAAATTGTGTTGTGAGTAATAAGTTTCGATTTAAATATCAATTTTGAAATGAATTAACCTAACATCTTTTGGAAAACTTCGTCATGAGTACAAAGATCACAAAATTCCTTGTGAGAAATTTTTCCGTCTTTGTTCGTATCAAATTTTGCAAAGACTGAATCTAAGTGAGTCTTGAATGCTTCAAATTCCTTCTGATCGACTGATTTACGAGTTGATTTAGCTAGAAGATAAATTTTTTCAATCTCAGCTCGTTGAAGAAAACCATCGCGATTGAAATCACATAGAATAAATAACGGTGCAATTTTTTGCGTCGGTGTACCAGGTGTCGTCAAACAAGCAGTCATCAGAAATTCATTAAAATCAACTTTTCCTAAACAACAACAACAACAATATGAATATTCAAAGAAAAAAATACATACAAAATTTTTACTAATATCTATAGTTTTCGAATAGAAATATCCCATTTAACTTCATAAAAGTGTCATAGCTGAATTTAACAGACAAAACTGAGTCGACCTATGTGGCAGAGATGCCAATTGAGTTGGGTTGATATGGGTACATTTTGGATTAGAGCTTCCACTGGTTAGTCCTAACCCAAGCCGGTGACTAGATCAGACCATTTACACTCGCGGACAAAAGTAATTACCCACCCTCCCTCGCTCCTTCAAAGTGATATTATATTCCATCATTTCGAAATGATCTTTTGGGAGAATGTCGGTCTCATTGAACCCTGATCGCAAACACCGCCACACCCTCAATTGGTTGAGTTTGCTGAAGATATCATTTGTGCATCGTCATCACCTTATCAAGGTCACATCTCGATCATTTTTCGACATTCACTTACGCGTAGCGCGTTATTCAAAAGCTCATGGATGCAGACATCATTAGTAAAATTTTGGTGGGAAATAGTGGAGATCCGAAGTTCGCACTAAAACTTCTACCAAGTAGAAAATCCTTGTTTTCAGTTTGGAATCGATAACTTGAGCTAAAATCGATTGATGCAGAGAAAAATTGTAGCAATGACTCATTATTGACCCACAAGTTTGTGATAAAATATTCAGAGCTGAGATAGAGCTATTGAAAGAGTTTACCATGCCACAGCTTATCTATCAATGGAGCTACGGTATTATACGGTGAGTTTTCAACCCAAGCGACTAGGTATGCAGCGAGACAACTAGCACCAAAAAAAATCAAAAATTCATTTTAGGAGGTCGAAAGTGTGAACTAAAAGGTTTTAAGAAGGTATTTCTCTTCAATTTCTTCAACCCCCCCCCCCCCCTCTTGTCTTATCATTGAGCTAGCACCTTCTCTGTTACGAAGCATTTCACCTCAAAACCATTTTTCTGACTTCACAGAGTTTCTGCTTCATGGACTCAGCCTTTTGTACATACCCTCTGAATTATTCTGACCAAAAAAGAGTATTTCCAGAAAGATGAGCGTAAATTCACTAGCGCTTGACAGTTCTACTCGCTTATAGGCAGTGCCAAGGGTTTATTGAAGACATGGAGGGAAAATATCATCTCAGAAGCTTTTAGTTCGCAGTGTTTCGTCATCCTAAAATGAATTTTTGCTCTTTTTGGTGCTAGTTATCGCCTTGCTTATCTAGTTGCTTGGGTCCAAAGGTCATCACACAATACCGTAGCTCCATTTATAGGCAAAGTGTGGTGTGGTGAATTCTTCCAATGACTATATCTCAGCTCTACATATGTCTACGGCTCTGAATATCGATTTCAAATTGAAAACAAGGATTTTCTACTTGGTAGAATTTTTCAGTGCGAACTTCGGATCTCGGCTATTTCCCACCAAAATTTTACTAATGATAGCTGCATCCCTGAGCTTTTGAATGACGCGCTGAGCGAAAGTGAATGTCGAAAAATGATCAAGATGTGACTTTGATATGGTGATGACGATGTACAAATGATATCTTCAGCAAATGTCAATCAATTGAAGGTTTGGTGGTGTTTGCGATCAGGATTCAATGAGACCAACATTCTTCCAAAAGATCAGTTCGAAATGATGGAATATAATACCACTTTGGGGTGGATGTACCTACTTTTGTCTACAACCGTATGTAATTCCACATCCAACCTACCTATAGGAAGCTTCAGGTAGGTTTTGTGGGTTAACCCAATAGTCAACCTTGAGCTAACTCATTAAATAATGCATATTTCATAAAAATTAGTTACGAAAAGATTTGTCCAACGTATGTGTTGTTAGAAAACGAATTTTTGATCAAGTCAACTCCATTTCGATCTCGATGAAACAAATCTGGTCGTATTTCAGTGAAATTTCTGGACAAAAGCTAGTTTTTAATGGTGCTAGGGAGTGCTTTCAATCTTTCTTGTTATCTGAGTACATTTGAAAACAAATGAGATATTTGTAATCAGTACACTTGGTGCTATTGAATTTGAAGACCTGTGATAGAGCAGCAAAAAAAAATTATTTTCGATTCCTCATGGCGACTCCATGTTTGAAAAGTTGGTCTGTGATAAAGTAAAAAATAAAATTATGAAAAATATTCAGGGTTCAATGCTGACTCTCAATGGAATAAAATTATGTTCAAATTTTTCGGAGCCTTCGATCCATAATTCAACACAATTTTTGATGCATTAAAATGTAATTAATGTCTGATAATAAACTAATAAATCAATAACCATCAACTACCTACTGTACTTTATCTTATTTTATTATATTTTACTTGTTCGGTAAAGTAAGAGATACTTCACTTTACTTCATTAAAGTAAAATAAAGTTAAAGTGCTGCCCCTAAGCCTGATGCTAACTTTATTTATATGACATATAAGTGGTTACTTCAGTTTGCACAAAAAAAAACTCTCACATGCAATTAAAGAACGGAAGAATTTTGTTTACTAAATGTTATTGGTTTTTACCAACTTTCACAGACATAGAACGAAATAAATGTTTCAATGAAGCAAAAAAGAATTGATATATGTTTAAAACAGTACTGTGAATGCATGTTTTCATGATGTTGCTGTAGAGACTAACGATAATACGTATGAGTATAAGATTTTGGTAAGCAAGAAAATGATGAATCATTATACTTATTAAAGGTGAATAATTCTTCAACATTTTATGAAAAAAAAAGCAGACATACGTATAAAGTCAAACACTAACACGCACATGCCTACAATAACAAGAACGACAAAAAAACGTGCATATATATTTCTGTGAATTATGCACGATTCCATAGAAGGATGATTAACGTATCGAAAAGAGAGAAGATATCATGTCAATTTCAGAAAAACTGTAAACGTTTCACTGACTTAGAAAAAACAATACGTGAATGCGTATGTTCAGCACAAGTAAGATACACATGTATAATGAATAAAAAAGGAATCTTATTTACAAAACTATTTTGATTAAAATATTATCTGCTAAAAAATACATCTCATATAGAAAATACCTTTTTAGATAATCAGTTTTCATCTTTTGTTGTTTTTTCGATTTGTATTTTAAAAATGCCAAATACAGTCATTTGGTATCGATTTTGTTCGGTATTTATCATGTTTATTACATGCCATGAAAGCATGATTGCGTCATCAACGAATTCCAATGAAAGCGTTGGTTCATATAAAATTGAAGGACAAATCTTTTTTCTACCTGGTGATGAAGCTCTTGGTGATAGTCGTGTACTAGTTAACGAAGGTGAATATATCGGTATTCCTCGAGTCGATGGCACTTTTGTCATATCAGGTAGATTGTCTTATAGAAGGAAAAATAACTTCTTAGATTTTCATTTCTTGTTTTTCAGGTATACCAAGTGGTTCGTATGTTGTTTCGATTAGTTCACCACGACACATTTTTGAGCCAGCACGAGTTGATATAAGTTCTAGTGGAAAAATTCGTGCACGTAAAGTTAACCTGGTTGAACCACAGAAAGTTGTTTTAGTAAAATATCCACTCCGTTTTGATACATATACCAAGCCGAACTATTTTAAAAACCGCGAAGTCTATCATTGGACTGATATTATTTTCAATCCAATGTTGGTTCTAATAGTTGTAGGAGTTATTTTATTTTATTTTCTACCTAAATTAGTTCCACCAGAACAAGAGGTACAGCAAATATTTCAACAAGCGAACAATGTGTTCCAACCAAACTTGAATATGCCTGAAATTGCTGATCGGTTTGCTCGTTGGTTCGGTGGACCCAGAAGACAACGAAGAACAAGTCAGCAGTCGATTGCCCACGATAACACAGATCTCGATGGCACACGACGACAGCAAAAAAAAAGAAAAGCACTAAAGCGAAAAAACTAAGTGTTTTTTGTAAATTTACATGTGTTGCTACTTGCCATTCACTTCTTTTAGTTACTTATATCGAATTAGACCTGAAAACAATGTTCTTTTGTTTTATGAAACTCATATATATTTTCGAATAAAATAGTAATTGTAAGTTTTAAGTTGAAGTTTTGCGATTGTCCATCTCTCCTCCCTATTATAGATCTTAACAACCGGAATTATACGCCATTGAATAAACTTCCATAATAAATGCAGACGGCGGACTCCAGAATGATTAATCATAATTGCTTAGCAACGGAATAAAAGTGCTGAATGAAATTAATATCAAGACTGAGCATGTTCGAGAACATTCTAGAGCTTTTCTTGAAATTTAAATGACTAGAATATGATTTTCGATGTACTAAATAACACACTTTCTGATTGTTGTGCTGATAAACGATTATAGGATAGATATCAAGAATAATATTTTGATTGCCCACAATTGTCATATGATCAACACGAAATCATAAATTGATTCATTTCTAACTTTTGGTGATAATCAATATCAGTCTTTCTGAATTCATCGAAATAGATAATATATAGTTCACATCTACTGTAGAAATCATGAATGTGTACAATAGGCTTATTCCTTCATTAAATTATTAAGATGAAACAGACAAAAAAAAATAAATGTCGAGCAAATAGCAATAAGACAAATGAAAAAAAAGAGCACCAATGCAAAAAAACTGGCAACAAGATTACAATCCTAAATATAGAAATAAAAATGCTAGACCCTTTTCTGCCAATTGATTATTGTTGGAAAGAACCTACTATCTTTTAGATATGTTTAGTTTTCTATATTTTGTATAAATATAATGAAACTAAAGAAGATAGGTGAGTGCCACTGTTCAGACTCAAAGACTCTGTGCAAACAAGCTTTTTTCTTCTTTTAGTATTTGTTCTCATGTACTACACGAAATATGAAAGATTGCACAGCGATTAAATAGTAGAGCTATTCCCATATTGATTCGTATGGTACAATAGACCATAGTTCTGAATCGTGTATAGGTGACTATGACTTTGACGTCACATTCACATTCTCATTTGAGCAAAGAGATGCACTCAATGAAATAAGTAATATTGCAAATGGCTATGTGTCGAGTTGATTGGGACATGTTGATGCACAAGATATCGAGAGCATCTTCAAGCTATGTTACACGTTATGATAAAAATAAAAATGTTCGATGCATTCAGCCATGAACTGTTACTTGTTTCTGAAGCGATAGTTTCTGTAAGTTTACTTTGCTTGTCATTCCATTCAATTGTTTGTTGTTTTGGCCACTGTATTGTTAAAATCAAGCGAGTGACCTATCTTTGTAAAAGTTTTCCTGATGAGTATGAATGAAGATATGACTGACATCTGCATCCGAAAATTAATGAGCGTGATCAAATTGAACATGCGATAGAATATGTCATTGATTACAACACACTATGGTGAATGTTCTTCCACTCTATCTAGCAATTATCGATGAAAAGCATTATGTAGATGGGTACTTACAACCAAGATGTAATCACTTATCAAAATTATACATTTGACTATGGATCAAGCTTGACTCTTTTCAATGTCGCAAAAGTCCATTAGATTGATACGTACATGCTGAGCCAATCATCAGTGCCCAGACGGAAGGTGTGAGTAGGTTAGTCTTCTCTTCGATGGCACCTAGGCCTAGACTCACCCACATTCTGGAAGGGATTTGTTCGTATGCTGACGCAATTCTACGTTGTTTTGCTAGAAATTACTCTTTATTGTGCGATATCAAAAGTTCATCAAAACCGTGACATTGAAATGTGCTATTTTACAAGAAGGAAAGTCTTTTGTCTCATGTTTCCTTCATTCAAAAGTAGATCGACCAATCCAACAACTAGAACATATGAATTAGTCATTTCTCTTGATCATCATAGATGATTTGCATTTTTCCATATTTTTTCTAAAGAGGAAGTCAACATTCAAACAATAATCGTCTGAAAGAAAATACGAAGCATAAGCTCACTTCAAGTTCGCGCAAACGTCGATTTTTTTCATCAAGTTGTTTTTGTAACGATTGTATCTTGTAATTGATAAAAGACTGATTATTATGTGGATCCATTTGACGTATGATCATCTTAGCCTTTTCCAAATATCGAAGATAATATTTTTCCAAAGCGTTTGTTTCCTCAGCTTTCTTCATTAGCAAGATATCCTTTTCTGTCAATTGTTGTTCTGTAAAAACCAAGGAAATAAATTGATAGCATAAATCGACATTCTCCTCAACAACGAACCAGCCATTTCCAATTTTTGTTTTAATTCATTCATTTGGCTTTGTATTTGAGTAGATTCTTGTTCATAATGAGACATGGCACAATTGAGTGTTTCCTTCAAATCAGTCAATTTAGTACTGTTTTTTGCAATTGTCATTATATCTTGAGGAGTCATATCCAATTCGAGATTCTTTTGATTGGACATTCTGAAGGTGAACATAAAGAAAAGCAACTCCAATCATTTATTTACCGTAAACTATTGGTTAATTTATTATTTTGATCTTTGAATTGTTTGCGAAGATTTTCTTCGTGTCGTAGTGGAAAAGAATGTTCTCTAAAACATGTGAATTTTTTCTTGTTCGTTTAAGTGTAACAAATTCCTACGATTTTGTTAGAATTAACCTGTCATCAGCAGGTGAATTCAAAATAGTGTGATCTTCAAATAATACAGGAAGTCGATCTTGTGAGTTTGTTTGAACAATATCTAAATGAACCAATCAGTTTTTCATATAAGTATTACATTCAATATTACCGTCATCAAAACTAATAACACGAAAGTTTTTCTTTGTCTTTCGCAATGATTGGATTTCATTCATTAGACTCTATATAAAATTATTTCAGTAATTCTTTCTTATATATATTTTTTCTTCTTTCAACTAATGAAAACCTCTTTTTCTCTAATAACTACATTGAGAAGTTCTTCTGCACGTTGCCGTTCAAGATCAGTTTTACCAATCATAGCTTGTAGTTCACTAATTTTCTGATGCAATGTTTGATTGGTTTTTTTATGAAATTCGGCTTGAGTTTGCATTAATTTTGCTTGTTTATATTCGTTCTCAAGATTTGATTTTTCGTTAATTAGACGTAAATTATTTTCTTTGAGATATCTCACTTGTTGTTGTAAATCCGGCATCTCTGCTAATCTGATCTTGTAGGAATCAATAGTCGATTCTAGTTTGGTCTATAATGACCAATGCACTAATTAATGTATCATTCTAGTGTTAGAATTACATACGATTTTTTCGCATTTGTTCCTTAGAACATCATTTTCATCTTTAACATTTCGTGCATCGGCTACAAGACCCGCAAGATCATCATTCTAGAAGAAAAGTTTCATCATATAAATAGTTTCGAATCAATTTAGTCGTTTTGGATCTACTTTTTTAAGAAGTTCTTTGTTTTCATCAAGTAAGATATTCAATTTTGCTCGATAATCGTGAAGAGCTATGAAATAAAGAAACAATAAGAAATACTAACTCAAAAATGATTGAATGTACTTATTTCAAGTTCAGATATTTCTTCTTGTTGTGATTGAATACGTTGTTGTTGCGAATTACTGTAAGAAATATATGCTGCCGATCTAAAATACAAGCAGCAATAAAATAAAACTATTGACATCGATATCTGATCATTTTTCTAGCATCATCGTACTCAGCATTTATGATACTTTCGTATTGTTGAATACGGTCATTTAAACATGCTATTTGATGCATTAAATCCAATTTATCATTTTGAAGCACACGAATCTGAAGATAAGATAGTAATAATCGAGATTCGATCAAATATCAAACCTGTTGATCTAATTCATGACAATGATTTTCGATTTCGTCTTTGATTTCGATGACATGATTGAGTTCTTCCAAAACGTGTCTCAACTAAAAATATCATAGGAAAATCGTGATTGAGTTCGTTATGTTCAATTATCTACTTGATCTTCAAGTTCCGAACGTTGTCCCTTGATCGACTGATCTTCTTTATTCATTAGCTATTTCATAGAAAGAATATTCGAACATATGTTCAAGATCAAGAATAGCACATTCGAACCTCTTGGATAGCATTCATGAGTACATGTTGAACAGATTCTTTCAAGGATCTTATATATTCTATATAATATCGTTTTCGCTCACAATTGACAGCACAACCTAGGACAAGTTGTAACAATCGGCTGAGTTCTACTTCATCTGCACTATCAGCTATAGGAAAAGAAGCCAAAGATTTTCGAATTCATTTGGATTTCTCTAAAGAAATTACCGATCATATACACATCGGGCATTTGAAAGTTTACTATTGGCTGCCTGAGTACCTAAAATAACAAATAATATTCTGCACAGATTCGCAAGAATACTTCAAAATTCACCTTGAAATAGTAGACGATGATATTTTTCCAAATTTCTTTCAAATTGTTTGCCTAAATTGATTTGTCTATAGATCTTGATTATTTCATAAGACTAGAAGCTACCTTAATTCGATAATTATCTTTTTCATCAGTAGTGATCTTTTGTAGCCATGTATCATTGAAATAGTTCTCATCTCTAACAAATCAATAATTAACAAAAACAAAAATGAATTGGATAAATCAATTACTGACATATTTCTCAGTGCCATGGCAATGATAACACCATCAGATAGATCATTAGCTCTGCTAATCGGTCGATTCAAATTGAATTTTTTCATCTGCAATGAAGAATGAAAAAAATTCCGATGAAATGATATTGATTTCATTCAATAAACTAGTATGAACCCACATACCCATTGGATCAGACAATCACATAGAATACGTCGATCCATCTTGTGGAAGATCTTAAGAAAACAAATTGATCTGAAGATAATTTTAAAAAAGTTTTATTTATTTTGTCTGAGAATAGACATATGTATTTTGTTGGAGAAAAAAAAGAACGAAGATGTGCTTGACAAGTAAGCTAGATAGGCGCTGAATTTTCTTGTAGTTTGATCAAATTCGTAGAGTTACTTGATGTTCATTTTATGTGTTCGTATTTGGCAAGATGAAAACAAGCGAACGATAACGATACATTATAGTCATTTGTCAGATAACATGCGAAGATTGATTAGCACGGTGGCATGTAGGAAAAAGACAAACAGGCTTAACTGTTGATGATGGAGCGAACAAAGAATTGTTTCCTGCAGAAATTTTATTAGAATGTACTAATCGGGCGTTGAGAATTTTCATTAATATCGTTGTCCATACTTCCATATTGAAGTACATCGATAACACCAGAATATCACTGTTAATTCGAAAAGCATTAGAATCATTTCATTTGAGTATTAACTGTTTTATGATTCAAGACAGTTGGAATAATGCTAAATATAAATAATAAACAAAAAAGATCGGCCGTTGACTGCTTTTTCATGTTTTTCTGAACGAATAAACGCTTTCACTGAAGTATTCATTGTATTTACTTATAGTCTTTTCTATGGAAAAGAAACAAGAGAAGATATATGTAGCAAAAAAAGTACATTTGCTAACCTATCGTGTTCAATTATATAGTGATTTTATGTTGCGCAACATCTATGATATCAATCAAGAGGATAATGATCCTTTTCATGCAATCAATCCAATGACATGCATTTTTCGAAAGAAAAATTATGTAGAACCAAGCAAATAAGTTATAATCAGAGAAAAAAACGAAAAAAGAATACGTTTATGTTATTCTTCGTCTAACTCACACCATACTTATACAACGAATTCGACTGTGTGTCACGAAGATACAGCGAAAATAGTTTGTTTCTATCTTATCTGACAACATGTGACAAAAGAATAAATATGAAAGACTTCATAACAACAATATAAAAGCATGCATTTTTATTGATTCTATACGATCATTCCATATAATATAGTTGATACTTCGGAAATATTGAAAAGCAAACTGCTACATGCATATCTATACCAGAAAACTAATCGATCAACAATCGTAAAGCCAGAAGTTTATCTTTAGAACTACTTATCTCGATGATTACTAAAAAGTTTGCTCGTTAGTAACGGTTCATGACTGCCATTGATTGTTGTTTTGACTGAAGACGATGGTAAAAGTTTGATGTATCGAGCAGGCATGTGCAACAAAAATTTACGTGGTTTTGTATTATCCACTAAGCAGTTTACGTTTACTTTAAAACCATCTTGATCTACAGATTCAGATTCGTCGAGTCCGGAAACTTATGGTCAAAGTTTATTAAACAATTATTATATTCCTGTAATAGTCTCCACGCAACGGTAACTTTCGTCGTCTGAATCAAAAGTAATAGTTCATCAAAATTACTGAATATTTAAACCGGATGAATGTGTCAATAATTCTGTACTATAAGAGTATTAAGACATTGAGACTCCATCGAACAAACTGTAGATCATATTAAGCAGTTCGATTTGTATGAATGACATGGACGCTAGGACACCTCATGGTACTTGAAGATACTTTACCATACTTGAAAATTCTGGATATGGTACTGGTCTCCAGCACAATTTATTAATTAGGAGTGATATCTTTCATAGGAGTGCAAACCTTCAGTTAAATATCATATTGTCACGACTCAGACATTCAATAGACAATATTGTTACATTCGATAACAAATTTATGGCTGATTCATTAGCAAAAAAAAAGTAAGTATTTAATATCAATGCATATGCGTCTTATATATCGATTACACTAAATATTCTTGATTCAATAATGCAATTAAAATTTTCATAATGTCAAATCATATTCTTCTTTTTTTTTTATTCTCCTATAATTTTGTTTTCGTACAAAAAACGGTAGAAAAACAAACAAAATCAAAAGAAAAAAAAATCAACCTAAACAAACACACATATCTATTGTTGATTTTTTTTTAATTGTGAGAATAATATTCTATATTTGTTTTTATTTCAAAATCTTTTTAATTGATCACTAATACGACTTTCAATTTTAGGTAATAATTGATGAATTTCATTAGCACAATTAACAACACATGGTTCAAAAATAGATCGAAGACGACCTTCATCTTTATCACCACTATCTTTTGCTTTATCTTCACAACTTTGTATGCATCGCATTAAACGTTCTTGTACATGTTGCATTTCTTGACTCATTGCTTGTTCAGCTTGAGTAATTTTTGATGAACATTTTTCAACACATTGATTAAATTTTACAGGATCAAGTGATGGATCTTCTGTACAACGATAGGAACAATTAAATGCATCACCCTAAAAAATAAAATATAATCATCAATTAAATATTTCAAATAACTAAAAAACATAATTAATGTACGAAACAGCAAGATTTGATTTACTGTAATTGTAGATAACTTTTTTTCCTATTTTTTTTTTTTGCTCCAAACGAAAATTGATGTTACGAATAAGAGAAAACAGAAGAAAGCAAGATAAAGTGAAGGAAAATCATCATACTAATTCTAACATTAGACAAAATGGATAATATCAAAATATGAGAGATCAAGATTATGACTCGAACTAGAAAAAAAAATAAATCTTGATTCGATACGTCTCTGATCATAACTCAAAGAGAATAAATTAATAACATACATAAATGCGTCGTAAATAATTTCGATGTAATGTTCCAGCCATTGTTGAAATAGCATCATTTAATTTACGTTGTGAATCTTCCATAATTAAATGAAATTAAAATTTAATTAATCTACAAAAAAAGAAAAAAAACAAAAATTAATTATTTCTTTTTTAATTTCTTTTTCTTTTTTTGTATTCCCGTTGAAATACGTTTTGGATTTTGATATGGTGGAATAATTTTTCCTGGAATAAATGTTACTGAAGAAGAAGAAGAAGCTGATGGTTGTTGTTCACAACCATTTATTATTTGAAGAAGATTATCAACAAGATTTTTAAGTTGTTCATGTTCTTGACATGATAATTTAAAACCAATTGTTGAACAATGTGGTATAGAAAATATTTTTGTTAATATATTAGATAAATTTTTTATACGAATCGATGGTATTGAATGTATTTGTGAAAGAAGTAAAATTGGTTTAGTTAATATAATCGGTACTAATGAAGTACAAATTAAAACTAATGAACATTGATTTTGTTTTAAACATCTCATAACACAATGTAAACCAATAGCTAAATGTTGTTTAATTGGATGTTTAGTAAGATTTTTTGATTTTTTTCTTGAACGTTTTAATGATATTTCAAGTTTTTCTTCATTTAAATATTCATTAAGAATTGCTAAAAGACGATCTTGTATATCATCTGATATAACAGGCCAATTATGTTGACCAGGTGCAGCAACATAAACTTTCATATTTATTTATCTTGAAGAAATATCAAGTAGATGTAAGAATATTAATTTGATAAAATACAAAGTTAAGATTATTTATTTTCTTTTTTTTTTGTTTCTTCCATCTTTTCATTAAGTAAATAAAATAATAACAACAACAAAGACAATACCGAAAAAAAAAAAAAAAAAAAAATCGATCAATTGCTTATATTGATTGATCAGTTATTTGATGTATATAGAATTCCATGGCATGAAGAAAAAAGAAAAAGGCAAAAAATAAAACTTAAATAAATTCAGTTATTCGGACGGATAAAAAATGCTGACAAAGCAAAACATAAGAAGACAATGCCACCAACAAGTGTCACTGTTTTTGGTGATATATGTTGAGCTACATAACGACCACCAATAACTGCTAATCCAGTACAAAAACCATGACCAATTGTACCACCAATAATAACACCTAAGAGATTTTCTGT